TCTGAAACCTTTCAGTATTTGAAACCTTCACTTACCAATCTTTGGTTAGATACAAAACAAGTAAGTGATTGCCTCTGGTTTTGAATAATCTGTACCTTAGAGGGCACCATCTCTTAATTCCACCAGAGTAAACCAGCTTCTGTCCCTGCATTCAGCTTCTCAAAAGTAATGTGTTCAGGAATTGTCTGTTTACAATAATTGAAAAACCCATCGGTAGATGTCACAGCCCTGGTTGAGATCCCCCTGCTTGAACGTTCAGTAGGCTTCTGTGTTTGGACCCACACATTGGGTCTGTGTGCTTTAAGGTCCCTAGGGCCTGAGTAGGTTCCAGGAACTGTCTCTTTGGCCTTGGGCTCCTACTCCCTGGGCATAGACTGTCTGGCATCCCTTCTCGAAAGTGGAACCCTATGGTGCAGCTGCTGTAGGCCCCCAGACCATTGCTAGAACCCCCCGCCCCCAAACTCCCCAGTAGCTTAGGAACACCTTCCTTAGGGCCCATCTTCCATGCGTACTCTGGTTTAGAGTTTAACCCCTCAGGGATAAATGATAGTTGAAGAAAATATTTTGCATAGGGATTTTTTAACCAATCACTCTTTACTTTTAGACAGCACACCATATACAGATCCATTGAAAATAAGAAACGCCTGCATGCAATTCCAGTTTCATCACCGCTCCTGAGCATTCTTTGGGATTTGGTCAGTGGGTTCCTGGTTCTCCAGGTTTTACTCTTCCGGCACAGACTTCTTTTTGTTCTGGTTGAGAGAGCTGCTCTGAGCAGACTTGGTCCTTTTATAGATTTCCAGTCCACTTTGCCATGTGACCCTCCTGATCAGCCTCAAGCCCCCGGTCAGGTGATCCAGGTTCCCTGTCAGGTGGTTTGTTACTTGGGGCAGGGCTACACTTAAAATGCTGCATTGTCACAGCTGCAGCACTTAAGTGAAGATGCTCTTATGTCGATAGGAGAGCTGTGTCGACAGGAAAAGCTCTCCTGTCGACATAGCACTGTCTACACACGGGTTTAGATCGGTATAACTACGTCACTCGGGGTGTGGATTTTTCTCACCCTGAGTGACGAAGTTATGTAGTTATAGGTCTGTAGTGTAGATCTGGGCTTGGTCACTACCCCCGTGGAGTTCAGACATAAACTGGTTTTACTCACACTGCAACCACCCCATTGTTCTGCCAGGGCAAGGTTCATTCAGTTGTTGATGGTCCTTATCCATCTCATTCCGAGGCGAGGCACGCAGCCAGGTGCCCCTCCCTTTCCTTATCACAAGCAGTATGATGTAAGACTACAGCAAAGTACAGTACAATAAACATACAGAGTTAATAAAATCTAACTGGCATTCATAAATTGTACATAGACAGGTCCCCCAGTCAATCACATCACAGAAGGACAGGGAAAGGAGTTGCCTGACACACAGACTGTTTCTAGTAAAGGGGTTAGCATGGCAAAAGCAGTATTGTCTGTTGTGCAGAGAGGGATATGGGGGGAGCAGGGGTGATTGGGAGAAGGACGGTTGTGGTATGAAGTGGCGAAGGATAAAGATGAGAAGTGGGAATCCTAGAGTCCGGAAGGGACATCTTGCTGGAATCAAAATGGACAAGAAGTCACAAATGTTTCCATATTAGAGATGGTGGTTAGTGGCTGTCATTCTTTCAGTTTAGGCTGAGTGACACCAGGCCATAGCAGAGTCTGTGCTTTCAGAGGGGTGTGAGTGAGTCTACAAAAATAGGGCCAAATCCTGAGTCAGAGTAACTCAGGATGTCACTCCACTGAACTCAATGGAATTGCATGCATATACCCTTAGAACAGTCTGAATTGGGTCATAGACACTGCCTGAATAGTGCTGTTTGTCCTAGAAGCTGATGTGGGGAGGTATCGTGATTTTTTTTTTTTTTTTTTTTAAGCCTTTCCTTGGTGGCCTTTGGTCACGCACAGTACTGTTGGTGATCTGCTGCAGTGCGTACTGTTTCCTATTAAGGGGCTTACAATGAAAAGGTCACCTGCCCTTTTGGACTTCTTGGAACCCCCTGCTTAAGTCACTAGTTTATATTAAATGTTCCATTATCACATGCTAGATATGCGTGTTTAACTGGTTCTCTTGTGTTGTGGAGGTTAGGAAGTTAGTGCTTTGTTTTTTTCCCCATTTCTCCCAATAAGACTTAGGAGTTGGAGTTATAGTTGTGCCTGGACTCTTTAAAGTCCTTTGTCATCCCATCTCCAGCTTTGGAGTCTAGATAAAGTGCAGAAGATTTTCCTGTTAGTGGAGGGAAGTTGCAATTATGGGGTGCTTTCTGATTTCTCTAGCTCTGTATTACTACTTAGCAAGAATAGAGGTCATGGTCACTGTGTCCCCAGAACAAGTATATTTGAGAGAATCCAGATTTGGGAGATGAAGAGGATTCTTTGTGGGATCAGTCAGTAAAAGCAATTTATGTGAAGGGACGATAGTCTGCAAAAAATTATTTAAAAAACCTGTTTGCATGCTCACAGTAACTTAAAGTGAATCAGTGAGGCATAATTCTCCTCTGTGCCATGTTTTAGACTAGAGGGGATATTCTAGAGCTGGAAACAATAGAAGAGACTAGTGGCAGTCCTAACATAACTCTCAGCATTGTGTATGGGATATAATCACTTTAAAAAGGGACCAAAAATTTGTTCTTGTGAAATGAACAAAATGACTTTTATAGGAAAATGTGCTTAAGTCACCTTTCTCTAGGCATGTTCTGAGTTTAAGGGACCTTGACCAAAACAAATTTCAAGTTTTGGAGAAGGTTGGTAAATGATTCCATGGCCATAATATTTATTTTGTTTTACTGTGTATCTAGAGCCCCCAGGGTTTCAGCAGAACGGTATTCATAAGTCTTCGTAGCTGCAAATATATGATTTAGAAGTCACTTAAGTGTGCCCAAACAATCATCTTGAGTTCTCATATGTATGTATCTGGTCCTTCCTAGACAGGGCATAGAATAATGAAAGTCTACATGTTTCCAACAAGTAAGAAATGCCTTTTCTTTAAAAGGTCATATTTGATTGAGCAATTTAAATGATAGGTTAGAAAGGCATACTCTTCCTTGCTGTTGGTGCATTTCAGAACAGCCTCACTAGAAGAAGCAGTGGGAGATGAGCCTTAGAAATGAAGCTTTTCAGTTACTGTGTGCAGTCTCATCGAAGGTTTTCTTCAAAGGATTCCAGTAAATATCTTCTAAGGCAGTTGTTTTCAACCTTTTCTCATTTGCTAAACTCAAAAAAAAAAAAAAAAATGGAATGGAGGTGCGGACTGCTTTGGAAATCTTAGACATAGTCTGCAGACCCCCAGGGCTCCAAGGACCACAGGTTGAAAAGCACTGTTCTAAGGTGACTGCTTTGGCTTGTTAGTAAAAGGAGAACCCTTGTGATAAGAGTTGCATAGTTTCTTCCTTTCTGACTATTGAAAACATCTGAGATTCTCCTCATATAGAACAATCTGTTCATGATGTCCCTGTTCTTCCCCTGTTATCTAGATCATTAGAATGTGTGTGTTTGGTTCAGATTCTCTTATACATTCCAATTTTTTTTTCTGAAAACGGCATATTCAAGATGTGTAATGACACCAAGTCTTCAAGCACCTGATCTGAAGAATTGTTTCTGAGTAGCAGCTGTGTTAGTCTGTATTCGCAAAAAGGAGTACTTATGGCACCTTAGAGACATAAATTGTTTAGAGAAATAAATTGGTTAGTCTCTAAGGTGCCACAAGTACTCCTTTTCTTTTTGATCTGAAGAAGCTTTTAAAGCTGATTTCAGGTCAGCTAGTCTTCTGAGTGACCTGAGAACTGTTCCAGAAGGTTAAATGTACATGTCAAGGGTATGAAGTCAGTTGCTTGAGGAAACCTGCACAATGGCTTCTGCTTAGTTCTTTTTAACGTCTTTGCATTGAACCAAATGTTTCTGGTAGTCTGTAATAGAAACATCTCTCAGCTAGGATTATAGTTTGTGGGGGATTAGTTTATTTAGCTATACATATGATTGCTATGTATGCATTTTCCCTTATAGAGCTAACAATCTTTTTTCTTTCCCATAGAAGTGGCAGGTTTCTCTGCAGTTATGAATAAGACTATGCCAGCATAATATCCAGTAATCTGCTCTATTTGGATAATTTATTGTGGATATTATGTATCAGTTTTCTCCAGTTAGGAAAGAATTGTGAAAAGCTAGTAACTGAACACTTCTTTGATTTTTTTACTTAGAATGGAAAGTTTGTGCTAACCTTTTTCTCACTAACTTTGTCATCCGATCCATCATTGTACTTCCCCCTTGTACTCAGATGTCCAGGAAACTGTTGGCAATCGCTGCCCAGCACCCAAAGCTTCAATTTCAGAATTTCATTTGAAAAAGATCCTTAAAAAGAAGTGAGTGCAGCAAGAATAATGAATAAAAGGCCAGGTCTTTCTAATCAGCAGCTTGCTACTCTGAGAATGGCAAATTAAAAGGACACCAACTTTAAAAACAATCACATTTCTGTCTGAATTTCCCTACTGTCGCAGGTAGCGCCTAAGATTACTATATCTGAAAGAGGTCAGAGAGAATGTATTTTTCAGGTTACTGGATTTGACAGCATGCATGCAATTTAATGTTTCCCCTTGTGGAGTCAGTTTCCTTGGTATTTACTTCGGGGTCTCACAGCAACAGAAAAGAGAATGTTTTAAAAAATAGGAAGGTGTGATTGTAAAACCAAGAACAATTTGTTGAGAGACTTGAACGTGCTTTCAGCTGTCTTTTAAAAATTAGTTGCTGATGTATTGCCAAGCCTGCCATGAAACCATTTCTTGTTCCAGTCCTGATAAAGGGCTGTTAGACCAGAAAGTCATAGGGGTAGACACAAAGATAATGTCTTGTTTTTATCAGGTGTATTTATTTAGTACATTTCCTTTGAATGCCTGGTATGCTTTTAAGTGAAGTTAAAAGTTAACTATGTGTTTTAATATTTACATGAACTAATTTTAGTCTTCTCTTTCAGGATACACAGCTGCTTTGGGACACACCTCTATTGGATTTAATACATGCTCCACTAGCAACAGCTTTCAGCTATGGAATCGGTAAATATTTGAGTTACTTTTTTCTGAATCACTTTCTTTTGTTTTGTGTTGTTTTCTGTGCAAACCCCCCCGCCCAACAAAGCCAAATACTAGTATGATGAAGATGGTGTTTTTCTACTTCACCTTTCTGATATTTTTACGCTGAATATGAACGTTTTAAACTTTTGTGATGGAATAGCTGAGACCCACTGAATTAAATTTTATCCTAGCAAATGTCCATGGATATTAAAAAAACACCTTCCATTTTAAAAAAAATCTGTTCAAATGTAGCAATGTTTTCCTGACCCTTAATGAAAGCAGGACTGTTAATTTTATTCTAGTGAACTGTTTGGCGTCAGTTTTTGTCTTAATTTCAGCAAAGTTCATAGCTTGTTAGTGTGCCTGGCTGCTGAGTCCGTAAGGTACTTTTAATATCCTTGCACAGGATGTCATGAGCCTTTTTTCTACCTCGGATTCCCCTAAAGCTCTTAAATAAGAGACTTTGAGTTAAAATTTTAACTTGTCTAATGTTCCTTCTGCTGGTTATAGCTAGGGTAGTTGAAGCCAATGGAGAGTAGACGTCTATATTTTCTATGTTTGCATAATGCTAATAAATGAAGGCTTTGGAAAATTACTGCTTTTCATGCAAACTGTGTTTGGGACTTACATTTTCATAACATCCTTAGAGGTACGAATTCACAATTTTTTTTTCTATATATATAAACTTAGTAGGATTACTTAGAGTGGAATGCAGAAAAGGGAATTTAGATTAGGTTAATTTGAGATTGATTATGGGAGAATGGTTTGTGCTGCTGTCCTGTGAAAAGCAAAGTAATACAAACAGTATAACTGATCTTTCTCCAGATTTGGCAGTTTCAGAGAACAGAATCCTAATTGAAAGCTGGGATTCTCCACTTTTCCATGGTGCAAAGCTGCCATTTTTAACTGTGCAGGTTGTGAGGTATCAGTCCAGGATTTAAATTCCCTGTCTATATGTCCTCAAATACTATGGTGAAGGATTCTAATAAATAACATAGAGAGTGTGTTGGTGCTTGGGAGTTTAGCTGCTTGATTAAAAGTTGGTTTATGCTGAATGTAAATTATGTTGTAATCTAGTTGTCGTGATACTAATGGCTTTTATTTAAAAAAGGCTAATTTAGTGTAGAAATGGGCATCCGCTGAATCAGATGGTCTGTTTCACAAGTTTGTGGAGTTTTTCTTCCATTCTAAATTTTGAAAATAAATCATGTTGTACTTAGACTGTCCATATTAATATTCCAAGATATTCATACTGAAACAAGCTATTTCACTTTCCCTTGGTGAGTATTAATAATAATAAAATTGTTCAGAGTGAAACAGAACACAGGCCAAGCATCAGCAGCTCTCCCCTGCCACAGTTTATTACAGTAATTAAAATGTGATAGAGTAGGAGACCTCTTGCGATATGCAAAGTAAATATTTCTCTAACTGGTATTCACCTGAGTTTTTTTGTGGCACTGCACCACATCCACTGTGAAACACCGTGTATAGTAACAAATCAGATATGCTTAATAATTGGATATGAAGGATCATTTGTTTCATTCCTTTAGATTTTGGACTGAGAGGTATCCAGTTGCAATATTTGTATTTTGAACCTGATGTTTTAAAATAGGACTTAATTTTTTCCTCATGCATTTCAATAACTTTAACCTATAAGAAAATGTTAGTGATCATCTAGGCTTATGTATCTGTGTACAGCGTGTGTTCTTGCCAGATGTGGTACTATCTATGTGACATCGCAAAGGTTCATGGCAAATTGCATCTATCCTGCACCTTTATCTACCTTGCCTGCAGTCCGGCCACAAATCTCTCTCCCCCAAGACTGCTACTGTCATTCCAAACTTCTGAACTGCTTTAGTACAACCACTGCCCTTTAAAAACCGGTCAAAAACGTTTCCTTCTCAACCCAAAATATGGAATTTTCCATTAACTTTGAGATAATGAAAGTAAAACTTTGTTTGGTCTGGTTTTTTTTTTGTATTCTTTGACTGTATAATTGAGTCCAACTATAGATGACTCGGATGGAGAGAGAATATTACTGAGAAAATGACAAAATTGCAACATTTAAATATAGGAAACAAATATTTTAAACTCCAATAGCTCTAACTTCTAGTGCTAAAAGTATTTCACTGTTTATCACATTGGAAAGTGGCGATTGTTTGTGGTAGTACCCACAGTGTGCACTGTGCTGTCCAGATGTACACTCAGGAGTGGTTGCTGCCCAATAAAAAACCTGGCAGATTACCCAAAAAAAAGAGATTGGGTGATGCTGAGATGTCAAGTTTTTAAAAAGTCTCCACAGAGGTAGACAAGTGGGCTTAATACTGGTGATGAAGTCAGGGCTACGTGATCGTTGCAGTTCAGCACATGAATATCCGCCGCGCACCTTTATGCACATGTACACCATCTCCAAATTAGCCCACGGTCTGAACGAGATCAGTGACTGATGAACAGCTGGCTGAAGCCTGATGAACTAGCAGTATCATTTACTCACCCTCAGTGGAGGACATTGCTCCCTCCACTGTCAGTGATACACAGTCTAGAGGTGGTCTTGGACTCATTAGTAATGGATAATCAAGTAGGAACAGCTGCTGTGCTACCTTCCACATACTGCAAGAATATTGCACCCCATCCCGTAAATGCTTGGCTTCTGCAGTCCATGATTTTGATAATCAGTTTGCACAAGGTACTGTACCTGGGAATAAACATGTAGGCACTCAAAAAAAAAAAAAATCTGGCTTGTACAGTTTACAGCAGTATCCCTGCTAACCAGCATGGGTGACTAAAATGGACACTACATAGGCTCCCCACTGAATTAAATTCAGAGTCTTGAACCCCAGTGATCCTACTCATCTGATTGCTTCTCACTTTGAAGTAACATTCTACCATGGCATCTCTGTTCTATGGAAACAGTGGAGCGATCAACAGAGTGAGATTAATGGGAGTGTGGGACTGAGGTAGCCAGCAGACAATAATGGAACTTTCTTCCATGGGATACCAGAATGACCATGAATCTTACCACCTTGGAAAAAAATACAAGACTTGTAGCTGTCTCACAATATTAAAAAGTCAACTCCTGTCTATATGAGTGGAAAGAGGGGAGGGAACTAAAAGGAGAATATAAGAATCTAGCTTCATACATACAATTGTATGTAATCTTGCAAGACAGTCATACCAGGGTAATGTGTGGTGGAGATATTTTTTGTTGCTAAGCTGTTCGAAGATATTTGTTTTTAACAAGTTAGCTGCATTCTGTTTTTGTTGCAGAAAGAAAATTCTGCATTACACTGAGCCTAATGCTCCAGGTTTCAGTGATTTGAATGTTTCTGTAGCAGAAAATTCTAGTGTAAGAGCTGACAGTTGGTATAATTCTCACTTCCCTACCATCTTCATTAGAGAAGCAGAGGGGTCAAGGTTTTCTCAGAGCAGCAGAGAGATTGAAATGGCTTTTGATGGTGGTTTTGGCACAAATATTTCATCGAGTCCATAATGAACATGTAGGTGTAAGATTAAAAGGATGAATAAGGTAGTGCTGCTAAACAGAATTGCTTTTTAGAGCTTGAGTCTCGCTTCACTCTGACCTCCTGAGAAGGATACGATTTTAAAGCTAAGGAGTACTTGTGGCACCTTAGAGACTAACCAATTTATCTGAGCATACGCTTTCGTGAGCTACAGCTCACTTCATTGGATGCATCCGATGAAGTGAGCTATAGCTCACGAAAGCGTATGCTCAGATAAATTGGTTAGTCTCTAAGGTGCCACAAGTACTCCTTTTCTTTTTGCGAATACAGACTAACACGGCTGTCACTCTGAAACCTGACTGTAAAGCTGACTCCCATAGTGAAAGGCAATTTCAGTACATGCTTCCAGAATTAAATTGTCTTCTTGAAGAAATGCTACAATAAAGGCAGCATCATTTAAACTAAATGGGGGCCTGATTTTGTGATACGTTTAACACTAATTTTTTCTATTTAAAACATTTTAAATTTATTACACTAACATTTAAATATTTACTGCTTTTTGTTGAAATAATATACTGGATTTATATAAAATTGGACAGGAAAGGGCCCTCACCAAAGGCTCTTAAGGAAACTAAACAGCCATGGGATAAGAGGGAAGAGTCCTCTCATGGATCAGTAACTCTCTGAAAGGAAACAAAGAGTAGGAATAAAAGGTCAGTTTTCACAGTGGAGAGAGGTGAACAGTGGGGTCCCCCAAAAATCTGTACTGGGACTTATGGCATTCAACATATCCATTAATGATCTGGAAAAGGAGGTGAACAATGAAGTGGCAAAGTTTGCAGATGACACAATTATTTAAAATAGTTAAGTCCAAAGTAGTCTGCAAGGAGTTAGTAATCTCACAAAACTGGGTGACTAGGCAACAAAATGATAGATGAAATTAACATTAAGTTCAAAGTAATGCATATTGGAAAACATAATTCCAATGACACACATACAATGATGGGTTCTAAAATTTGCTGTTGCCACCCAAGGAAGAGATCTTGGACTCACAGTGGACAGTTTCTGAAAACTGCAGCAGCAGTTGAAAGCTAACAGTATGTTAGGAGCTATTAGAAAAGGGATAGAAAACTGGACAGAAAATATCATGCCACGATGTAATTCCATTGTGTGCCCACACCTTGAATACTATGTCCAGTCTGGGTTGCCCATCTCATAGTGGAACTAGAGAAGGGCAACAAAGATGATCAAGGGTATAGAACAGCTTCCATACAAGGAGAGACTAAAAAGATTAGGGCTGTTCGGTTTAGAAAAAAGCGGACTAAGGGGGGTTATGATAGAGGTCTATGGAGTTGTAAATCATGGGGAAAAGTGGATAGAGATGTTGTTTACCCTTTCCCACAATACAAAAGCCAGGGGACACCCAATGAAATTAACAGGAATCAGGTTTAATACAAACAAGAGTAAGTACTTTTTCTCACAGTGCACAACTAACTTATGGAACTTGTTGCCTTGCCATGA